TAGTGGGCTACAAAAATCAACTATATATTAAAATTGATATTTAAAGGTCTAGTTTAGTGGGCTAGACCATATGTTATTATGCATATCAAATTCATATATAGCAATCTAACTTGATCTAGATTTAGATTGATTGACTAAGGAACATATTGAGATTGATATTTGGTAGTTTAATTCTCCTTATATTCCATGTTGTGATTGACATTTAGTAGTTCAATTTAGTTTAGTGATCTAGTTTTGTCTAGGTTGTTGGGTTATAAAAATCACACTACTTGTTAAAACTAATATTTGGTGGTTTAATTTTGTTTAGATTAGTTGGCTAGGCCATATCTTAAGATTGTGGTCTAGTTTATTCTTGGTATGCTAAACCTAAGTGATAAAATATTAATATAACATGTTGAAATTGATATGTAGCAATTTAGTTTGATCTAGGTTAGGTGGTTAAAGGAATCACATTACATATTAAAATTGACATTTAGCAATATAGTTTAATTTACCAATTTGCTCCTGATTGGGTTATACTGTAAAGATAGGATGTCAAAAACAAAAGAATTGTGGCTTTTACCTTTCATTCAGGAATGTGTAATGAAATATAAAAGACTGTAAGCTTTTAAGAGTCTAAGATCTCAACTTTTAGTCACAAAGGTGTGAACTTGCATAGAAATGTAATGGATTGTAAGCTTTAAAAGTCTCAACTCATGAGGTGTGAACTTACAAGGAAGTATAATAGATCATAAATAACTCAAAGGAATAGTTTGAGAGATAATTTATTAGGATTCAAATATAGAGGCAAAAGAAATAACTTAAAAAACAATGTATTGGTTCAAATATAGAGATAAAGGGCCACTTTTAATTAGTTAAGGGTTTGAAAATACTTGGGTTAAATGTTCTTGAGTTTAAATAATATTAGGATGGGTGACCCCCCAAAAGTCTAAAGTCAGGAGTTTTTATGGAAACTCTTAGTTCCACAATCTAGCATCAAAGAGATATTATAAGAAATAGTTTATTAAATACTAAATACAAATAAAGAGATTCACTTATTAATAAAGCTAAAAAGCTAGAGTTAGTGATTTAAGACTTGAAATTTTTGTGACTAATTTATAATGTAAAATAAAATCTACTAGCTCAAGATTTATATTTTCCAAATTAGATGAATACATGATATATTTTTTTAAAATAAATATTCAATATTATTGTTTAAAGTTATAAGGGCAATTTTATAAAATTAAAACTTTTCATAATTTTTAAGTTGTTTGTAAGATAATATGTGTGGATGAAATTCCAAAAGAGAAAAAATGTAACAAAATAATTAATTTCAAAAACTTTAAGAAAAAAATTAAATAATTTATAAATTTATTAAAATTTACAAAAATCATTATATTATGATAATTAATGTAATTTAAAATTACTGCATAGCATTTGTAATCTATACTATTCACAATATTACTGTTTGTGGGCTTGTGACAAGTTAACAATCCTCAAATAATATTCTAATCAAGTTTTGAGATTTCTAGTGGCATCTTTGACACTCTCTTATACCAAGTATAAGTACAATAACCTTTGATTGATCTTACAAATAAAAAATTTACTAAAATTAATTTCAAATCAAGAATAAAACATAACCAGCAATGTTATTTCTTAAATCATAAAGCTTTATGGACTTGAATTTTCTTTTGACTTGATAGAAAGCGCATGGGAAGCTTTCCTAACAAGCAACTTTTCCATTAACAAAAATCCTGATTGACTTCTTCTATATTTTTTTCACCCCATCTGAAACTTTCTTCTATCAGCAATATTCATTCAATTATTTGCAATGGAAGCTCTGTCAAAAGAAAATCTTCCTAATAAAACATATCATCAGGAGAAAAGGATCATGATGGGCATTTTTCCATCCCACCAGGAAAAAAAAATTTAGCCATCAAGAAATATTTCAACCTAACTGGAGAATTTCCAATGAGAAGAGGAAATTTTCTTGTTCTAACATATTGTTAAAGGTTTCATTCCATTAGGGAATGACTATTTGATGTGGCCAATTTGGCTTGCCACATCATAACATCTAATCAAAACAAATCCATCGGGAAGAACCTATTGGAATCTCCTATTTAATAAAAATATAAAGTGAACAAACCTGAATCCAAATGTAATCTAGTGTGGCAGTCCATCTAGGAATATTCTAGTAAAAAACTCCCATTGGATTAAGAATGTGCTAGAATATACGTTTTACCCGGTAAAAAAAAAAGGAGATTCTACCAAATATTTTCCATTCTATATTCATTCTTAGCATTACATATGATTTGCCATACTGATTACAATGCAAAATTTCCTCTACAGGTTAAAGTGATGACACTGAATACAACTAATTACATTACATGAATTTCAAATATAATCAAACTCCAGAAATATAAAATGCTAGAACATTAACACACTCGAACGCAAACGCAAACCCAAACAACTCAAACTCTAGATTTTAGAATATCCTATATGCTATTGACATGTTTGTGTATGTAGGTGATTAGGTTCTGAAAGTGCCACCTTGGTCACATATTCAGAGGGATATATCTACATGCAAAGATTACATCGAAATGTGTGAACCACCACCTGCCTTCCTCGGTCCATATGCCCACAATCCTGTGCAGCACACAAAACGAGTTAGAGGAGAGGGGGAGGGAAGAGAAAACTCACTGCTCTGCTACATACTCCCACCACACGGGGACTTACTGCTACACCTTAGATTGGTAGGCAAGGTATCAGATTTCAGCAAAAGATCAAAGGGCGCAGAAGAAGGATTTTGACTCAATGGTTATGGAACACCTCGGATGAATGGAGCGTATTGGGGATTGCTGTGATGGGATATAGGGAAGGCGTCGATGATGCCAAAGTTATAAGCTGGCTCTTGCAATGCAGTTCTTGAAGAGCAAAAATACTTTCCATATAGTCATTTTCACTGCCCGAATTGTCTTCCAGCTCTCGAGCGCCTCGCGGCGCCGACTCCAGCGGCGACGACGACGATCGCAGCATCGGCGCAATCGATTTCTTTGCCCGCTCGGCTTCTTCCGGCAAGCGCGCAAACATTGCAGGCGATCTGGGCGATGGCGGCGACGGCATCGATACGAGGTTGCTGCTAGCGCAAGCTCAACGAGCTCCGGGACGACGAACGCGCACAATATTCTGTGGTGAGAAATCTTTGGATTGCTCTTACTTTTCTCTGGAGCTAAGCTGGATTTTTAGTGGAAACGCCTCACATTCTTCTCACTCCTTTTTTCCAGAACTTGCTTCAACGTCCAAGGAAAGATATCGGGAGAGGTTGATTGGTGAGCTTTTGGTTTTCTGTGTTTTATTTTTCCTGCCTGTCATTTGCGTTTCTCTTCTCAAGCGCTTGGACGTGATCAACGTCGAGATCACGTCGAGAAAGCTGCCGACTACGTAAGAACTTCGACGGTTGTTTTGGAAGCATTCCCGGAGGAGCTGGACAGAGTAAGCCATGAAACTTTTAGACACATTGAGCGCTCTTTCTTGACTAATGTTTTCCGCGACCACGCAGTCTTTTGCTGCGCTGGGGCTATTGCTATCGCCGGTGCGCATCATCACATTGACAAGGGCTGGTGTCTTTGCGAGCGCCATTAAGTTAAGTCCGGTCATGAGTTTGCATCTTCTTGGTCCTTTCTAAAATGCGAATTCTTAAAGTCTGCTACTCGTGGTGGGTGCTTTCGAGTCTAGTGATGCTCGACCGTGTGGACTGGATCGATAAACAGAAGCTCAAAACATTCATTCTCGAGTGCCAATATACTCTCACTGTCGAGGCATTTAAATTTCACCTCTTACAAACATGTGGATTGTGTCCCGTTTTGATTCAACCGCTTGTGAAAAGTCCCGTCCTTTCCGATCTTATCCAGACGCCACGCCTCGTGCATATTTGGTAAATGATAAAGTCTTCGCACTTTGTATCGATTGCAACGTGAACTTCATGGTAACCTTTGTGTGATCTAATAGACCTCCACATGCCACTGTCGGTTTTTCTTCAGTTTCGCAAGTTTGCCACGCCAATCTTCTCCCATCCGCCTTGCAACCTCTTCGAACACCGCTTCCACTCCCACCAGCATGTCTTTGCGGCCGCAAAAGTAGATATGGCTGCCTCCATCCAGAAGCTTGAAGATCTCTTCTCCATGCTCCTCCATTCTGTCTTGCACGTAAAATCTCCCACCCCTCTTATTGCAGCTTTCCCTGCTCAAAGCAGTGTCATATCTAAAGCTCAAAGGGCGATCTCTTGCATATCTCTCAAACTCTTCATTATATAGCAGTCTACCAGCTGTTGGAGCTCCCATGAAAAGCCAGGCTGATCCCTCAAACTTGCGAGAACCCATCTTGTCCTCGAGTAATCTCTGCAAGAATCCCCGGAATGGAGCCACTCCCGTCCCAGTGGCAACCATGATATGAGAATCACTCGGGTTACTCTCATTCAATAGCATCAATTTCCCAAACGGACCAACGAGATCGACCTTGTCACCCGGCTTGCAATCGCACAAGAAGTTACTGCAAACGCCCTTCTTGCTCGGATCTTCCTCCCCGGTTTGAGGATCAACATAGATCGCTCTCTTCACGCACAAGCTCGCGCTCCTCCCGCTGAGATCGTCGCCATACCTAGAAGAAGCAATGGAGTACAAATGGTATGGATGGCGTGTTCCTGGCCTCTTTGAATTCTCGCCAGGGGGAAGAATTCCATAGCTCTGGCCTTCCCAGAATGGAACATTACCGCCGTGGTCAATGACGATGTGGGACACTTGACCGTCTCTAGTCAGTCGCTGAATAGAGCTGACCGTGGCTGTGTATGGCAATTGCGATGTGTAGAGATGGAATGGTGGTTTGTTACCACGCTCCAGTAACTTTAGTAGCCGAGACATTGACCTAGAGTTTTAGACCTAGCTCTTATATTTTAAATCGTCCCGCTCAAAACATAGGGTTTATCAAAAAGGGAAGGGAGAAAGGGGACGGGCGATTCATTCTGCTAGGTCGAGTATCGATTCCTGTAGATCTTCTCTGCTGCAGATCTTCTCTTTGCGATACTTCTCATCTCTGTGCTATATTTTGCTTTCTCGCAGCTGTGAGCAAGAGATTTCCTGTCAACGAGGTAGATTTCTTGATATCTCGACAGATCGCGAGCTTCTCTACAGATATTTCGGAGAGTTTCTCATTCGTTTCTTGCAGATTTCCCCATCGCCGGTCGATCGCTCGCCATGTTTTCTCTCCATCGATACAGGTAATAAGCAACAAGCTCTCCGAAATTTCTACACGTCCTATGGCAGGAATCTCCTCAACAAGGTCAAGGTCCAGCGTCACAATGCGGGTATAGTAGATCCGAGTAACAATATTAAGCAGGAGATCTCATCTTGGAAGTGATCGTCTCGTTTTAGCACTGGATCGCCAGAAGATCGAAGTGGCAACGACGATCGATGCTCAGCCACTCCAGAAGGCCGACGCTGAAACTGGTAAGTCGTGAGAATCCAACGCATGGTAATGCCGTCTAACTTGAAAAGTTTCTGTGACCAGATGCCGCCACCACTTACATGAAGTTCAAGAAGGACGTGATGGAGAATCTCGAGCTGCCGGACCTGGACAGCTATGGAGTGGACTTCGTGGAGCGTGTGTACAGTGAGTTCCTCCTGCGCGACAACGATCTCAACGAGCAGCAAAGGAAGCGCCTCTACGACGTTTGCTCTGCTTATCTGGGGAATGGCAATTCATCGCCTTGGAGCGAGTAAACCAAGGTAGGTTTCTTTGATGGATATGCTCAAGAGTGATTCACGCCAATGTTCTTTTAGTGGCAACACGGCATTTTTGTTCGACTAAGTCTTTCGGTTCAATTCGAAGTTCTCGTACTGACAGGTATTCATGCGTGTGTGGCACTGACTTTTTTTGGCGTGCTTTCACAGCGAAGACAAAGTTCTCAAGCTACCGTGAAAGGTAAATCCTCGGATTATCAAACAACTAACTAGTCCAACTTTTTCACAGAACCTATGCCTCGACTATCATCACTGCTCCATCGTCCGTAACATCACTTTGAGCGTCACCGCCTCTTCTTGTTTCGCTCGCTTCTCCTCCAGCCTCCGCGGTTTCTTCGCAATCCTTCTCTTCCTCGTCGGTTTCTTCCGAGCCATTCGATGGATCGTCATCTTCTTACCCTGCTTCCGTCACTGAGAATGGATCGGCATTTCTCACCCATCTTTGTACAGCATCGTGTTGTGAGCGTCAGCATAGCAAGCGTATTGAGACACATCACTGGCAATCGCAGAGCGCTCATTGCAAGCATGTGGCCGAGCGTGTGGTGCTTGGGATACTTTGGCTTTCCAGGAGTATTGTCGAGCTGTGAGAGATAACACTGATCAGGCTGATAAATGGTAAGGCATTTTTCAAATTCTTGCTCTTCATTTCCTTGTATGCTCTCTCAGCCTGCGCAAAAAGTTTGTTAACCAGCTTCGAAGTTCTCTTCCAGCAGGACGCGAGCTGTTGCGGAGGCTCCAATAAAAAAGGCTCAAGTGCTTGTATAGACTTTTAGAGCTGCCTTGAGCCTCCACCCTTCCGAGGCACTTCAACAGAAGATCGAATGTGAACGAATTGGCCGAAAGACCAACCTTTGTATGCGACTGATATAATTCATGTTTCCTGTACAAGCACAGAAGCGCTCAAAAGAAAAATCAACGCACATATATCTTAGAAGTGTTTTTTTTTTTTGCTGTCGATGTTGCCTTGCCAGGAGCATTATACGTTTTACCGTCAGGGAAGTTGCATTTCCTTGCTGTAATGCTTTCTCGAGATCAACACTTAAGCATGAACTATAACGAACGGATATCTACCTGCATCGTCTATACGAAGAACGTGTTGGCAACAAGAAATCGAAGTGTTGTAAGTTTGAATGCTTATTGGTTCCTTGGTTTGCTTCATTGTGAACGCAGGATATCACACAGACGGCAAGCAGCCATTCAAGGCAAGTACCTCGTAGATGGTAAGTGCTCGTTCTCCTTACAAGCGAGCATAAGAAATGAAAGAAAACACGAAGAACTATCTACATGTACCTTCGTTTGCACTCCGGCAGTCTTTGGTTCTTCCAATATCTTCAGACCGATTCAGCCTTCCTGATGGCTTCATTGAATTGCGTGATATTGTTCTGGAAGGAAGAAAACCTAAGGAAGAGTCACTGAGCTCATACCGGAAGCAAAAGATTCTCACTCCTTTATGTAAAGTTAATTAGCAAATATTTAGCACTAATGGTTTTGTGGTGTAGTTGGTCATCACATCAGTCTAACACATTGAAGGCCTCCAATTTGAAGCTGGATGAAACCATAAAAGTTTTTACTTTTATATTTATTTTTGTTGGCTATCAATTTTAATTTTAATTTTTTTTCTTACTTCATACTTCACTTTTTCTATGCTTGCCATTTCAGCTTCAAAATGTGGAGGCACCTTTGTCAATGGCAGTGTTTCATACCACACAAATCCATCCCTTGACCACTGCTACTATATATAAACTATTGCCACCATAAGCACAATCATGGTAGGAATCATTCAATCTGCAATCCTCCTTGTAAACATTAATTGGGCAGTGGAATTGTGATTGCATTGTGAGAGAGTGTTAAGCACCAGTTTGACCACGTGGTCAACGTGGGTCAAAGTGAAGTTCAAGGGTTTATTAAGGCATGTTAGGGTAAGGAAAAAAAAACTTTAGAGCTTTTGACTTTAAAAAGAGGTATAATATAATTTAGGGAGACTAGATTTTATCTTTTAATGCCGGATCTTAACATTAGTATCAAAGGAAGTTAGTTGCAATGAGAATTTTATTATTCATAGTGGTGCCAATGATAGTATCGATAGAACTGCAAAAGTTTGGATTATTCAAAATGTTGTTCATAAGTTTCGAGTTCTTAATCAAAGTCAATAAATTTGTGATTCAACTTGTTATAACACTCGATACAATCCCTTTCACAAAGCAAAAGCCCCTTATACAAATTATATACCATATGATTGAAAAATGAAAAACACCAAATCATCCACTTTGTATTCTACATATATTTTACATATAGATAATGATAGGAATTGTATTGTTATTATTGTCCCACTTGTATTCAGCTTAAGTGTTTAGTAGGCTCAACTAGTCCACTTGTACACTGTTATGAATATGACTATGGGTATTGAAAGTTATTTATCAATAAGTCTTTTTAGATGTCCTTTTTTTATTGCCACAACAATAGGAGGTTGGTATTGCTAAAAGATTTTTCAAACTCCACTCAAGCTAGTTGAAAAATTGGTCATCATGTTTGTACTTATGCTGAATAAACATAAGGTAGGAACTCATATGTGTTTCTTACTAAGTATATTTGGCTCGATACAAAAAACTCATATATTAGCTTTATAAACAATTAAAGGGAATAACTTGAGAGATGTTCTATATAAGTTTAAATATAAAGGGAGAAGGCTCATGAATAAAAGTGCATCTCTTTTTCCAATCGGTTAAGGGTTTTAGGATATTTGGGGTTTAGTGGCATCCTAGAAGTCTAAATTCAAAAGCTTATAAGCTTGCACTTGTTAGTGTTGGGAACCCCTATGGTATTGAGTTTGGTCCCTCAATAATTGCTAGGTGATAATTTACCATATTTACCAAAACACTTTTACTATCATGCCCTTTGTGTTGGTTCCATTTTAGTCCTATTAGCTATTTATGGAAAGTGTCTAAATTTACTAATTGGGCATATCTATGGAATGTAGAAATTATCCTAAATATAATGGTATTGGTCTCATATCTAAATCCACAATTTAGCATAACTTGATATTTAATAAGTTTTAAGCTTGTCTCAAAGACTAACTCTTGGTACTAAGGGTAAAAACCCAAGCAGGCATTCTTCTGGGTGGGGGGTTCTAAATATATAATAAAGATATTAGGTAGGTTAGGTGTGGCTGACCAACCTAAAGCATAGTCTATCTCTTGTTTGTATGTTTGTCTTTATTTTACATTTGGCTTAAATTTAAGCTTAAGTTTTGTACTATATTAGTTGGTAGAGTACCTATATCTTTGTGTTATGCCATTGGTATGCTGAAATAGTGTTAGGTTCTGTTTGGCACCATTTTGCATGCTAGTTCTGGCATTGAGATGCTGGATGCTCTAGAATTATTCCAACATCATTCTCTACTTTTGTTCCTTCGCTCCTTGCGTTGAACGCTCAAAAGTCACTCTGTGCTTCAATTTCTTCACTCTTTGGTTG